AACTCTAAACCCCCCAAACCCCTGAACCCTTATCCACATGGGGTGCTCTCGTCGCGTCCCTCATTCTCCAGCCCTAAGCCCTAAACCCAGCACCCGAAACCCTCAAAAGTCTAATATAGGGGCCTTTTTTAATATTTTAGAATAGGGTTTTGGGGTCCATTCTAGTATAATTATGATAAGGAACCCCAATTTAGAATAGGTAATTATAAAGGCCTCTATAATAACTTGCATCTCTCCCTTCAGTGATCAACCCTAAACCCTAAACCCTAAACCCGAAAACCCTAAACCCCTAAACCCTACACCCCTAAATCCCTAAAAGGTCTAACTTGCATCTCTCCCTCCAATGATTAGCCCTAAACCCCTAAATCCCTAAAACCCTAAACCCCCAAACCCCTAAAACCCTAAACCCCTAAACCCCCAAATCCCTAAAACCCTAAATCCCAAACCCCCTAAATCCCTAAATCCCTAAACCTTGCATCCCTCCCTCCAAGTGCTGCCTGTGATGAGGTCCGCCATGATCTGGCCCGTCAGAGGGCCTCGGGGCATGGTCCGCAGAGATTCGGGGAGCCTTGTATCCCTAGTAAAACTTAGGGTTTAAGGTTTAGGGTTTAGGGTTAAGGGTTTAGGGTTAAGGGTTAAGGGTTTAGGATTTAGGATTTAGGGTTTGGGATGGTTTAGGGCTTAGGGTAGGTATTCAGGAATATCTTGTTCTAGAATGCTCCTTTAAGTCGGTCTTAGGGCTTCGGGTTTCAGAGTTCCCTTCGTTTATGGACTCAACCATGACTTAAAATCGTTGCTTGTTGAAAAAAGCTCCCTCAAGTTCAAGACTGACTGCCGCCGAGCTGCCCCAGAGAATGCCCCAGCAGTTGTGGCCGCAAGCCAAGTAGATGTTCCTTGGGAGCGCTTGGAATGACAAAAACCCTAAACCTTAAACCCGAAACCCTAAATCCTAATCCCTGAACCTTAAACCCTAAACTTTCCTAAACCCTAAATCCTAAACCCTAATCCCTAAACCCGACCTTAAACCCTAAACCCTAATCCCTAAACCCTAAACCTTAAACCCTAAACCCTAAACCCAAAACCCTAAACCCAAAACCAGAGAGCCCGCCATGACCCCTACTCCATCGATGATCATGTAGAGACCTTCATAATTCGAATAGGGTTTAGGGTTTAGGGTTTAGGGTTTTTTTTTCATTTATTATAACTATAATAAGGAACCCCCCAAAATAGTATAGGTAATTATTAACGCCCCTATATTGGGTGCCCTTAGCCAGGGGCCTGTGTCTGGTCAGGTGCTCAGGACAATGGCGATACAGGGTGCGTTTGCGTTCTTACCCATGTCGAACCGCTCCTCCCAACTTAGCTTCCATGACAACGTCTCTGGCGAAGCTCCAATGTCAAAGATCCCATTGCAAAAAGGCATGCGTCGTTGGGTATAGGGTAGTCTTATAAAAACAACCTGAGGCTACAAAAAGAGAAAAGGGCTCATCGGGAGACAACATGTACCATTTCATGGCCAGGCTGCTCCAGATGTAGCCAACACTAACGCTGTCACCAAAGCCGCTGTGTATCGTTATTCTTGAAAGCACTCGAAAAATACTGAACATAATGCCGACATGTAAATGGGAGCTTCAGCGTCAGCCCTCCGCATTTTTGCATCTTTCGAACATCAGTACAGTATGGGTGTGTCACCGTCCTGCGAACAGATTCGACAGCACTCACGGCCATCGTCACGAGCTGAAAGGCTAAGGCATCTCTAACTGCTGCTGACGTACTTGCCGCGGCGCAGGGAATACCGTGATGACAATACAAAGGCAGGTATATACACAAAAACTGAATAAACGAGAATATTTGCTGGATGTATGTGCAGGAATCAGCACGTACACGCGCACTTTCTGATGTCTGTATGCACACCCTCGTCCACCAAAGCCAGCAAACTCAGACTGGTCACCCCATGACATTGCCAATCATAGGCCTGTGCCACATGCAAGTTACCCGGAGACTCCAAAACCCCTTAATTAAGGAATATACCTTAAACTACTATAGGAACCCTAGTAAGATTTAAGGGATATTCCTGAATAGAGGGATATTGGAGTCTCTGGGTACCTACTTCAGGGCTCAGGTAGCTCAGGTTCGGCAACACACCCTGACCCTGAAAGAACCATACCAGCCGGCTAAAGACCCGAGTGTCGGCTGCCGTATTCAGGCCAGTTTCGGATTGAAGAGTCAGTTAGGTTTGGGCTTCGGGACTTCGGGTTTAGAGGTACGGAGCCGACACCCACCTCTTTCACATAGTTTGTCTTTGCAAAACTACCTTGGTGCCCACCAAATGGGTGTGCCTTCTTGAAAGCTGGTGATGATGATTCTAGATGATGATGCTGGCGATGATGATGGTGATGAGTTGATGATGACGATGGTGATACTAGTCTTGGCGATATAGGTGCTGCTCATGATGGGGACAATGCTGTAGATAATCATGACGATCCTGATGATCATGAGTATGTTGATGGCTGTGGTTGTGGTTGTCGGTTACTGGCTGTTGCTGCTTTTGGTATTGCTGATGCTGCTGCTCTCGTTATCGCTATGATGACGACGACAACGATGATGATGATAATGATGATGATGACGGTGGTGATTAAGTTTATGATCAGCACTATTTCTATTACCCTTGCTGGTGTTTCTGCCGCTGCTGCTGCTGCTGCTGGCGGTTGGTGTTGGTGTTGGTGTTGGTGTTGGTGGTGGTGGTCGTGGTGGTGGTGGTGGTGGTGGTGGCGGTGGTGGCGGCGGTGTTGCAATTCGTGGTGGTGCTGGTGGTGGTGGTGGGTGGCGGAGCGGTCGGGGTGGGGGTCGGGCTGGTGGTGGTGGTGGTGCTGCCGCAAGGGAGATGGTGCTGGCGGCAGCGGTGGCGGTAGCTATGGCGGTGGGCTACGGTGGTTCTGGCTATTCTGATGTTTGCGATGGTGGCGGTGGTGTTGCTGGCTTGTGATATGCATGCTTTAACACTCTACATGCCGTCGCCCATCGAGGCTTTGTGACTAAGGGGCTGAGGAATGCCAGTACTGGCTCGGATGCCCAGTGAAGCCCCTGAACCTGAACCCCGAACCTTAATCCCCAAAAACCCTGGGTCGTAACCCTGACTAACTCCACAACCTAACACTAAACCCAAACGATGTGTCTTCAATCCCGAAGCCCTGAACCCCGTCCTCGCATCCGGAGGGCACGGGCGGATGCATGCCGCCGACTCCTTCGGGATAAGAACTGGACTTCGCTTGGAGGTTTCAGGACATCCACGGTTTCTGTGAGTTCTAAGATCTAGAGGATTCTGCCTTAGCATGCGAGGTCTTATCAGCTATCTTGATGGGGGTCCAGGGTTCATGATGTAGGGGTTTGGATGACGGTTGTCGAGCTCGGGGTGTTGTTTCTTTTGTTCAGGGTCTTGCCTGAAATTCCAGGGTAGAGTCTAATAGCTAAGTTCTGGGTTCCAGGAGATTGGATGTGTCTGGCTTTGGCATGCAGAGCAGAGCTGAGGATTACTACACTGTACCTCAGAATGGCAGCTCCACCTACCCGCTTATGCACTGCCTCCACCAACGCTCTCAGTACTCGTCAAGCTGTATGGCTTCCGGGTAGCTTGCGTGGAACCCAGTCGGAGAAGGAGCAGGAACGCGTTGATAGTAGCCGTCCCAGAGACTCTAGTAACAGCCACTTCCTTAGTCGTAGAGTCCCCCTTACTGCCAAATCCTAAACCCTCTAACCCCCAAACCCTAAACCGCTAAACCCCTAAACCCTAAACCCGTAAACCCTAAACCCCTAAACTTCTAAACCCTGTCACAGCCGGTCCGGCTCAAGGCCCTCAATGATGCTGGTTTTGGCCCTGTCTGGAGCCAACGGGTGCTTCACAAGGGGATTCTGTCTACCTATATCCTAACAACGCCATGGGCTTTGTAGGGATTCTCCGTACAAGCTTTGGCCTCAGAAGGGCTCCAAATCTTTGGTGTTGGATTGTGGCTTGCTTCCTGGACCTCGCCACCAAGCTCCGCGAGATGATAGCTGTGGTTGTGCTTTTATACTGTATCAGAGTGCCTTCTGATGTGCTGTGTTGGAAACTTCGGTGTAAGGAATAGTGTCGGACAGAGTGCACGAATGCTACAGTTAGTTGATGCTCTGCTATCGGTGCGGCAGCGGCATACCCCGTATATTGATTTGATGCCTTCTGATGCTCGTTTATCCCATGACAAACCAGAAGGCGGCTTCGTCAGCATCTTTCGCACCGAGCGCGGCTTCTCCATCTATCCTCCTCCGCCTCCTTTCCACTCCTTTCTCCCCTCCTCCCCTTGGTACTCTGGTGCGTTCTCTTCCTCTCTAGTGGGGAGGCCCGCCGAATTGGGTTGCCATGCTCATGCGCCTTCGGCAAGAGGCGGCTAGGGCTACGGGTTTGCAAATGGTGTATCTGATGATCTAATTAAACCAATGCCTCAAAATTTCTGGTCAAGTCGATAGCCACACTGCTGAAGCTGCCACTTCGGTAAATGCCGAGACACGGCTGGCGCTGCTAACGCGATGACTTCGGTTGATGATCTAAATCCTGCATTACCCATAATAAGGAATATACCATCATTCCCATTGTTTAGGGACCTTAAGGTAGTGAAGGATTTTATAAGCCCTAAACCCTAAACCCCTAAACCCCTAAACCCCAAAACCCGAAACCCCAAACTGCAGGATTTTTATCATCAACCGTAGGACTGCCACCGTCTTAGACAACGGCAAGTTTTGACGTCTCTGCATATCAGACGGAGGCTCAAACTACTTGAGAAAAGCCCTAAACCCTAGACACTAAAGTGTAAACCCTAAACCTTAATGTAGGGGCCTTCATAGTTAGAATAGGGTTTTGGGGTACGGTATATTGTTACTTTAATTATAATAAGGACCCTTCCCAAATAGTATAGGTAATCATTTAGGCCCCTACTTTAATCTCATCTCCTCTCACTCTCCATCCATGCCTCAGGGAATCTGTGGCCGCCTTCACCTGGGAACAAGGTGCGACAAGCCCGTCATTGAGGATGCTGAGGTGGGCGTCTGGCATTTAGGGTTAAGGTCTGGGTTTAGGGTCTCAAAATCTAGGGCGTAAGGCTTAGGGTTCAGGGCTTAAAGTTTAGCGTGTAAGTTTTAGGGTAACTCCCGGAATCTGCAACGACAGCCTAGACTGGAGAAATCCAGCAAGCACATCAACCGTCAGAGCCGTGGAACCTCTCGCATGGGTTTAGGGTTTAGGGGTTTAGGGTTTAGGGGTTTAGGGCTTAGGGTTTAGGGTAGTTTAGGGTTTCATCGCAGGTTATGCAGAGACTCCCAAACCGCTTAATTCAGGAAGAGACTTCAAATTAGAATGGGAGCCCCAATAAGATTTAAGGTATATCCTTAAGTTAGGGGTTGTGAAGTCTCTGGGTAGTGGCATGCGGCGACGAATATGATTAGCAACCCAGAGCAAAATTCAGTAGTGACAACAATGTAGTAGGCCTAGCACTCAGAAGAACTCGACAACAATGAGAATAATAGCAACCCCACAAAGGCCAACCACCAAACAAGTGACAGACATCGCCAAACCCAAAACCAACAACGCGTAAGCCCTCAATGACTCCGAGGTCCGGACACGGACGGGGTTGGGCTTCACGTCCTCATGCGTTGAAGGCATAGGCACTTTCAGCGCTCTTGAGGGTTCAGGGCAAAGGTCACCCCCAGGCCGAGTAATGCCCAGTTTCGCCCCCTCGCGACAGTGAGTCCTAAACCCTAAACCCTAAACATCCCTTTAAACCCTAATCCCTAAACCCCAATCCCTAAACCCTAAGCCCTACTAACTCCCTAAACCCCAATCCCTCAACCCCAAGCCCTAAACCCTAAGCCCTAATCCCCCGAAGCCATGTAGGGCTTTGGGCTGCGCTTCCTCGGTTCCAGGGCATAGCGACCGGAGCATTTCGGCTGCAGGGTCTGAGGCTACGGGTTCAGCGCTCCGCACCACACGGTTGATGATTTCTATCCTGCATCACCCATAGTAAGGAAGCTACCAGAATCCCCATAGCTTAGGATCCTTAAGATGACAGTAATTAGTTCCTACACTCCTGAAGCCCTGAAACCCTAACACCCCAAAGCCCCAACTACTCTGGTGCCCTAATCCCTAAAGCACTAAACCTCTAGAACCCCTAAGACCCTAAAGCACTTCCCGAAGGGTCCAAGTACCCAAATAGTAGGGTTTCAAGGCCCAAAAACGGATTTTGGGACCTAAAGCCTTACTATTTGGGTACTCGGACCCTCTGGGCTTAACTCAAAGCCCAACTCCCAAGCCAAGCCGTTCCTCCGGTGGAAGCTTGGCGATATCCGGCTCCTTAAGGTATCGAGAGCCTGCCCGGTTCAGGGTTCAGGGTTTAGGGTTCAGGGTCTAGGGTTTAGGGTTCAGGGTTCAGGGGTTTTAGGGTTCAGGGTTGAGGGTTTGCGGGAAGATGCCTGAAACGACACCATCAAGGATCCTAGCCTAGTGCAACCATGCTCCCCATAGCCTCGGCCCTACATCTTTTGTAGTTTCATGCAATCCAAAACCCTTAACCCAAGGATATCCACACTAAACCCTAAACCCTAAACCCTAAACCCAAACCCCCCTAAATCCTAAACACATTTACGGATCACGGCCCCGCTCTCGGGTGCCTTCTGGCTCCCGAAGATCAGAGCTGCAACGCAGATCTGCCCTATTTGGGAGTTTCCCAAAATAGGGGTACCTTATTTTGGGGTCCTTATAATAGGGATCCTATTATTTAGGGTACTATATTAGGGTCCCCTATTTTCGGAAACCCCCATTTGGCTCCTGTTCATAGTAGAGGCCAGAAGTCGGAACACTATTATCCTCAATAAAGTAGAAGGGATCCTAGCACTAACCATTCTAAACCCATGTCCCAACTGGTTGGGAGTCGCTGTAGTTGTTCGTCGTGGACACATGCTGTGCATCTGCACCTAACAATGCATAAGTTCACGTGCTTCTCTGCACTGTACCTGAAAAGGGGACTTCAGCAGCTCGAATCAAAACCGCACACCACAAGCCAGAAACCGGACACCGAATACCCTACCACTCAAGCATCAAACCTTCCTGAGCTCCACTCCCAAGTCTCCTCGCACAGTCTCCCTGGCCTCCCAGTCCGCAAACGTACACGGTTCCGTCTTTGCGCGGGTTGACCTGACATGAACCCGGAGAGTACAATCGCTATATAAGGGCTTAGGACCAGAAACATCCAAGGGGGGAAAAAGGGTTTAGGGTTTAAGGTTACAAGGGTTAGTTATTGGGCTCTCTGGGAACAGCTGAGTCACAGCTGGGGTTCCAGACCTCGAAGTTGTGGATTCAGGGCTGTTGATCTAGGGGCTTTAATAGAATAGCGGTTTGGGGGTATGTTGTCTTGTAACCATGCTTGAAGCTCTCAGGAATAAACCCCTAAACCCTAAACCCTAATATTGTAAACAAAATCATCCAGTCCTCAGATACCCGACTATTTCACATCAACACTTTGTTGGTGGCCCCTTGCATAGACTCACGAAAATCTTGCTCCAAAACATCCCTGGGCCCTAAACCCCTAAGCTGAATGTTCTAGAGTCCCAAAACCAAGGCCCTAAACTCAACATCCAAGAGCCCTAAGCACCATCTTTCAAGTCTTCCAGCTCCTTCTGCCGCAACTTGAGCGGCTGGGTGCATGCCCTTCAGATATCCGGAATGCTTGGATTGCTACGGTGCAGGGCTTTAGCGTTTGAGGGTCTGGGGCTTAGGGTCTTCGCCTAATGTAGGCCTATTATACTACAATAATAATAAGGAACCCCCCAAAATAATATAGGTAATTATTTGGGCCCTTTTTATGACTTCTGCCAATGCTTGCTTTACAACCACTTGTGCGATGAGCTCACCTAGCAGAGCGACTATTGTGGTTGTTCACCGAATACTGCAGGCAAACACTGCTGCTGCTGCTGTTGCTAGTGCTGCTGCTGCTGCTGCTGATACTGCAACAACAACCCTCTTCTTAGTACAGCGACGATTACTTGTACCTACGACGACGAGTTCTTCTAGCGTTTTCTGGCTTCTTACTTACCTTGCAGCACTGCTGCACTGCTCGTAGTAGTCTTCGTAGTAGGAGTAGCAGTAGCAGCAAGAGGAGTGGGAGTTGGAGGAGGGAGAAGCCGTTGTTAGTGGCAGTAGTAGCAGTAGCGGTAGCAGCAGCAGTTGCAGTAGCAGTAGAAGTTGAAGTAGTGGGAGACGACAACGACGACGATGCCTCACGACTGGTCGTTTATTCCTTACCACCTTCTGCTTCTTGCGCATTTGTCACTACTTCTGTACTTCTTGCTACTCACGTCTCACGACTTGGGTTTAGGGTTTAGGGTTTAGGGTTTTGGTTTAGGGTTTAGGGTTTAGGGTACTTCCTAAACACTCAATCCACTGGGCCCCGGCCTCGAGGTGGCAGCCGAAATCGTCCTCCTCGCGGCCCCATGCCCGAAGGCATTTTCGGGATGGAGAGCTTCGAGATTGGGGTGGCGATGCCCTCAGAGAGTTACGAGTTAGGATCAAAGTGGCGTGCGGAGACTTTTTGGAGTGGGGGGGGCAGCTACTTTGGCTCTGTAAACAGACTTGGGCCTTTAAAAAATGGGGCCGCCAATCGGTCGGCCAGTACGACGACCCGTTTTCCGACGCGAAGCACACGGCACACGAAAACTGGGTTCTTGTTAAGGGATTTAATTTAAGTTACCATAATAGGGATCTATAGCAAATAATATGGTTTCCTTATTATGGTAACTTAAATTAAATCCCTTAACAAGAACCCGGGAAAAGAGCGGCCCGGCTCGCCTGGCAGAAGAGGGCACAGGGAGGCTCCACCAGCCTGGTTCGAGCTCAGGCCAATTAAGTCAGTTTCAACAGAAGTGGAGTAATATAGGGGCCTTAATAATTAGAATAGGGTTTTGGGCGTATATTATACCAATTAAGTAAGTTTCAACAGAAGTGGAGTAATATATAGGGGCCTATATAATTAGAATAGGGTTTGGGGGCCCATTCTACTATAGTATTTATATAAGGAAACCCCAGTAATATGGGTGGTTGTCAAAATTAGGGTCCCTTCTTGGGTCCTTATTATAATACGGCGCCTAGGGTACCCCAAAAAGGGGCCCTAATTTTGACAACCACCCATATAGGGGCCTATATAATTAGAATAGGGTTTGGGGGCCCATTATACTATACTCATAATACGGAACACCCAAGATAGTATTGGTACTTGTTGAGGCCCCTACATTAGCTGTCATACGGATGAACACCGTTTTACCAAACCTTTGACTTTGCTGGAGCTAAGCATGACGGCGACTCATTCGAGCATCAATGTGTATCCTGTCTGCAAGAACGGCAAAAAAAGACTTTGGCCGCGGTATTGCATGTCTTAGTGTCTTAGTGCAGTGCTAGGACGCGCCGTGAATGCACTACGTGCTCTTCATTTGAGAGTTCCCTGCCTTGCTGTCTTCTTACTCACTGGTGGTTCGAACCAGTCCAAAATCAACTCTTCACCGTTCTCGCATGTCTAAATGCGGACCAATGCCGGATCCGGAATAGGGTTTGATATAAGGGCCTAAGGCCTAAGATCCACAACAGAAGAACATAAGTCTTCACTGCCATAAGTTTAATCCTTCAGCGGTATTGAACGCAGCATTCTTCCGTCTGCTTGCCAGCCTCGGCATCCGAAAGAGGAGCGACGAGCTGAGAACACCCTCCATAGGTACTTTGACCTGGCATGATGAGGCAATCACGCAAAGAGGGTGGCAGCATTCTGGCATGAAAGCCTGACAAGAATTTGTGGTTGCCACTACTCTGCAGCTGCTACTGATACCACTACTGTTGATGGCATTCCTACTGTAAAGCAACCCTGCTTCAACCACATAGGCCCCAAAGCCCCAAAAACCAGACCCAAAGGACTCGACACCCTAAGCCGGCAACCCCCCGAAAGACTCCAAAGCCCTGAGCCCCGAACCCCATCCGACCTCGGGAAGCCATTTTTCCAAGAGGACGGACCAGGGGCCCATGGCGACCACGAGGACGTCGCACGGAACCACCTGATCTTCATCGGTCTTTTGCTTTCTGACCTTCCGTGGTTGAGCATGTTCTATTTTGGAGAGCGGAGCATGCATCAGTTGTTTTCTTCTAGATCTTCTGCGGTTGTGGGTGCTTTTTGTGGGTTTCGGGCTTCGGGATCTTGGCTATCCATTCACTATTTGCCGGTAGCTGTTCTTGTGCTGCTTTTAGCCGGGTGTAGGGGTTCAGCCTAAACTTAAACCCTAAAGTTCCTAAAGTCCCTAAAGACTTCAGGGTTTAGGGCTTTTCATGATTTGGCTAAGGGGCTCAGAGCTTTGAGCATGCAGGGTTCATCGGTTTGGAGCTCGAGGATCCTTCGGGGTTTAGGGTTTAGTCCATGTTAGTCTTGTCATGCTATACTGTTCTATATACCGTTCTTATTATACTATACTACTTTAGGGCTTTGAAGCTGAAGCGTTTGGGTGTTTAGGCGTTTGGCGCCGTTCGGGGTTCGAGGTACGGGCCGTTGGGTTGAAGGGCTCGGCGTTCGGGGAGTGTAGGGTTTAGGGGTTAGGGATTAGGGGTTTAGGGTTTAGGGGTTTAGGGTTTAGGGGATAGTAGTAATTCCGAATAGAGCAACCCTACTTTCTACTACGTAGGACTTAGGACCCTTTGGGAAGGGTTTAGGGTTT